CTTAATGTTGTATATCGAGTGACAATTATCTCTAACTTTTTATTTTATTATACATTATGATCCTACATGTTCGAATTCTACTTGAAACGTACAACGACGAGCAACATAGTATTTTGACTTTCTCTTCTTAACTATTTCGTGGACAATTTAATATTACAAAAAAGACTAATCCTTTTAATTATATTACACCTATAAATTACGTGACATACTTAGACGGGTCCTATTTATTCAACGTGACATCAACTATTCAATTGATTGAACATATTTTATTAAGCAATTGCATATTAGGTTTGGATTTGGGCCAATTTCATTAATCCTCACTTGGCCCTCTCCTGTCTCTATATACAAGAGAGTCCATTCACTTGGCCCGTCTCATTTCTCTCATTATGAAGAAATAGGTTGCAATAATATATATATTTTTAATTAAATCAGTTGGATCAAGTAAGAGTAGCAGGCCCAATTAAGCTAACAAGCTGAGACAAGTTATGAAGGCCAAATAAATATTTGGCCTTCATAACTTGTCTCAGCTTGTTAGCTTAATTGGGCCTGCTACTCTTACTTGATCCAACTGATTTAATTAAAAATATATATATTATTGCAACCTATTTCTTCATAATGAGAGAAATGAGACGGGCCAAGTGAATGGACTCTCTTGTATATAGAGACAGGAGAGGGCCAAGTGAGGATTAATGAAATTGGCCCAAATCCAAACCTAATATGCAATTGCTTAATAAAATATGTTCAATCAATTGAATAGTTGATGTCACGTTGAATAAATAGGACCCGTCTAAGTATGTCACGTAATTTATAGGTGTAATATAATTAAAAGGATTAGTCTTTTTTGTAATATTAAATTGTCCACGAAATAGTTAAGAAGAGAAAGTCAAAATACTATGTTGCTCGTCGTTGTACGTTTCAAGTAGAATTCGAACATGTAGGATCATAATGTATAATAAAATAAAAAGTTAGAGATAATTGTCACTCGATATACAACATTAAGGAGTAAAGTCTGGTTTTAATATTCCCAAGGGCCGCAATGCAATATTCTCCTCTTTCCCGCCAAATCCCTCCTTTAATCCTCCCCTCTCTACATTTTGCCGCCATTTCCCAACTCTCTCTTTCCCTCTCTCTGCAGACCGAAGCGGCGCCATGAACGACCTTGACTTCAAACGAGACAAAGGCAATTCCTACTCACATAATCTGTGTGTACAGTATTTGCATGTATCTACATTTTATTCACCAGTTATTTGTTTTTTTGGATGCAGATATTGCAAAAGATTTTCTACTCAACTTTGCAGATCTGAATGGCGAAGCTAAATATATGAAAGTTCTCGTGAGTTTTTCTGGTTTCTCGTCTTCTCTGCTTTATATTTGACTGAAAATAGCACAAAATGAAAAGGAAGAAAATATTATTTGATTTTTAGGGTTTTGAAGTAATTTATATTCCCAATTACTGATTTCAGCAAGATGTTGCAAATCGCTCAACTAAGGCCATCCAGATCGAGCTTGAAGATTTAATTGATGTAAACATTTCTGCATTTTTCTTATATTTTATTTTGTCAATTTCAAAGCCCTGATTTGGATTGTCTTTGAAAAAAACACAGTATAAGGACTCGGATGAAGAATTTTTGAGGCGGGTCACTGAAAATACGCGAAGATATGTTGGAATATTTGCAAATGCCGTCGATGAGCTACTGCCTGAGCCTACAGAGGTTCTTCCAGACGATGACCATGATATTCTGATGACCCAGAGGTCGGAGGAAGGAACTGAGAATGCGGACGGTTCTGATCCCCGACAGCAGATGCCTCCTGAAATAAGGCGATTTTTGTAAGATTTTTTTGAAAGGCAGCTTATTTCCTTTTTTCAATTGATTCTGATGCTTAGCCCCCAATTACACTATTTAAATACTATTACTAATATTCAAGAAATAAGGTTCTAATGGTTATAACGGCGGTAAATGTCTAATGGATTCAAGAAGTGGAAACCCAAAAGGAGAAGAGGGAGAAAAATGTAACTTATCTGCTTATATTAGTAGGAAAAGTGGAAGGCCACTAACAATTTCTCTTGTGGAAACCAGTGAGGTCTATATACGAGCATCTTCAAAAGGGAGACCTTTCACAATTAGGGAGGTCAAAGCTTCGAATATTGGTCAACTTGTCAGGATATCCGGCATTGTGACTCGTTGTTCAGATGTCAAACCATTAATGCAAGTTGCTGTATACACATGTGAAGAGTGCGGATTTGAAATCTACCAGGTATTGCTTTGTTCAACTGTCATTCTTGAATCTTGACTCCATTTAATTAATCATAATTACATATAAACAGGAGGTTACTGCTCGGGTATTTATGCCTCTATTTGTGTGCCCATCCAAACGCTGCAGTACAAATCAAACAAAAGGAAACCTCATTCTCCAACTCAGAGCATCAAAATTTTTGAAGTTCCAGGAGGTTAATCTTTATATTGATTTAAGGTGATGATATATTCAACAACTTGGAGTTCCTTTTCATTAATTTAAAACTGATTTCAGGCCAAAATTCAAGAGCTAGCTGAACATGTTCCGAAAGGTCACATTCCTCGATCAATGACGGTTCATTTTAGGGGAGAACTCACCAGAAAGGTTGGTGATATCTGACATTCCTAACTTCTTCCCAAAGGAACTACCTGATAATTTGCATGCATAGCTGAAAAAGCCTTGTTTCTAATATTTGGGCTTGACTAGATTCTCTTTATGTTGTAATTATTAATTTCAAGGATTAATTTATTCAAATGCCAGCTCAAACATTATTGAAAGAAAGGCATATTTGTACTTTTTTGAAATACACGATTCCAAAATAAGATATTTGTTATTTTCTGAGCAACTCTATAGAATTAGAGTTAAAAGAGGAATATTCTGCAACTGTTTTATCTCTCAGAGCATGATTTTTGTTGCAGATACTTTTGATGGTTTCTTGTACTTATTACTTAGCTTGTTAATATGTGCCTCTCCTCAACATGGCAGGTAGCTCCTGGCGATGTTGTTGAACTGTCAGGCATATTTCTTCCAATTCCATACACCGGATTTAGAGCAATGCGAGCTGGCTTAATTGCTGATACATACTTGGAGGCCATGTCTATCAACCATTTCAAGAAAAAATATGAAGAGTAAGACATTTTACCATTTTTCAGCATTGGTGCTCAACTTTATCAACTGAATGGCATTGTGTGAAACAACAATTAACCTCGTTCTGTGAACAACCAAAGGAAAGATAAATTTCCATTTCGAAGTTCCAGATCTGTTTTTTTTCCTTCCTATGGTGTCTATGGCATGATCTCTAAAAGCTATCCTGCAAGTCTGCTACAACCCAAGGCTATTATAGGATGGTTTTAATCGCATCCACCCTCATAACTCTGAAATGAAGTTTTGTTCAAGCTTTTCGAGAGAAATCCTTCTGAAAGGAAAAAAAGCAAATTAAGAATACGAGGCAGTAATGACCAGGGAATCCTGACTATGTTATGTTTGTGCAGAGTATTTGAGATACTGAATCTGATATTTTCCTGATTTTCCTTGTTTGTACGTTTGGAGAAATATCCTCAAACATGTGTGTTTCTCATCGAAAAGGATATACAATTCAGTTTCTCATTTTATGGAAGTATAGTTCAAGAGCTTGGCGGGAACCTAATGGTAGTTTTCAAGTGCAGGTATGAATTTAGAGGAGACGAGGAAGAACAAATTGCACGCTTAGCCGAGGATGGTAATATTTACAATAAACTGGCAAGGTCATTAGCCCCTGAAATTTATGGGCATGAAGATATTAAAAAAGCCCTTCTTCTTCTCTTAGTTGGTGCTCCTCATAGAAAGTTAAAGGATGGGATGAAGGTAACTAACAAGGCAAACTTTTGTATCTTCTTTCCCTTCCATGAAATTGTGGTTTTTTTCAAAATTATTATTATTATTATTTTCATTTTGGAATCTTCTTCCCCATGTTTTTTAGCTAGTGAAGCTCATTAATAAAATTGCAGATTAGAGGAGATCTCCACATCTGTTTGATGGGTGATCCCGGGGTAGCAAAAAGTCAGCTTCTCAAGCACATAATTAATGTTGCACCTAGAGGTGTGTATACCACTGGTAAAGGAAGTAGTGGAGTTGGTCTAACTGCTGCTGTTCAGAAGGATCCAGTGACAAATGAAATGGTCTTAGAAGGCGGAGCATTGGTGAGAAATTAAGAACTTAACTACTCTTGAAGCATCTAAGTTACTATCTCATGACATTGTTCTTTCCATTGACATCATATTCGCTGCTTCTATCAGGTACTAGCAGATATGGGTATATGTGCCATTGATGAGTTTGACAAGATGGATGAATTAGATCGTACAGCAATACATGAAGTAATGGAGCAGCAGACTGTTAGCATCGCGAAGGCTGGGATCACTACATCTTTGAATGCACGGACGGCTGTCCTTGCTGCTGCCAATCCAGCTTGGTACACCAATTTGCATGCAATGAAATTGATCTCCTGTCCTCAGTAGATAGGATGAAAACTTCCCAATGTGGCAAGAGATCATTACTCAAGTTTTCTGTGTCAGACTAAAGGTTTTTTTGCCACATCAATAGTTCTTTTAAGGTTCTAAGGTTCTCTTATCATATCAGTGATGAGAAATTTTTATCATGCCCACTGGAGAACCTTACTTAATGTTCTTTTGCCACATCAGCAGTGGGAAGCTTTTACTCTGCCACTGGGGCAGGAGATCATGCTAGTTGCATGTAATGCTATTCTTTTCTGCATGTTTTTAAACAGTTTTATGTGCCATGCCTTGCACCATGTTTATTTAGTTCTTTGGTCTAAGCAAGGCGTGCTTAAGGCCACCAAGCAAAATCATCTATTTACTAAGTACATTTTTGAATTAGAAGCTTAGTGATATATTTGTGCTCCATCCTTTGTGCTAAAGGGGAAGATACGACCTAAGGAGGACCCCGGCTGAAAATATCAATCTTCCTCCAGCTCTTCTATCAAGATTCGATCTTCTGTGGTTGATCCTAGATCGAGCAGATATGGATACTGATCTTGAAATGGCTAGGCATGTTGTCTATGTCCACCAGAATAAAGAGTCCCCGGCTCTTGGGTTCACTCCACTTGAACCTTCTATCCTAAGGTAAATTCCTATAATTTTAACTTGGTTCAGCTTGTCGCTAGAAATAATTTTGCTTGTGTTCGTCTGGGTAATTTGAGAATAAAATGCATGTGAATGAGAAGAAAGTTAAAGTTCTGTGGTTGTTGCACTCACCTAGAACAAGGGCTTGCTTTCCAACTGGAACAGTATTTCCTTTCATCTTCTGAACCAATTTCCTCTTTTATGTTATTAACAGCAAGTTAAGAAATTTATGAGATGCCTCGTTTAAAGCATTACCTGCTGCACAGACACATGATACACGACTTACAGTCTTTGCATATAGTTGCTCATGCTTTGACTTGGATTCTCATTAATGGTCGCCAGGGCATATATCTCAGCTGCAAGAAAACTGTCTCCTTCAGTCCCAAAGGAGCTGGAGGAATATATAGCCAGTGCATATTCCAGCATCAGACAAGAAGAAGCGAGATCGAATACCCCTCATTCTTATACAACCGTTAGAACTCTACTCAGCATTCTTAGGATATCAGCTGTGAGTTTCTGTTCACCTATTACATAAAACTCGTATCTGTTAGTGTATTTTTAAAATAAATAACTTATTTTTAACTTTCATATAATTTATAAATTTTAAAGAAACTTTATAAGATTAGCAAAAAAATTATAGTGAATATTATTTATTTATTTTTTTGCATTGACTTTTTTCTAGATTTCGGTAGATAGAAAAAAAATTAAATAAAATATAGCACTAGATAATAATTTAATTGTATGTTCATATTATTCTTTAAATCAAGAATGTAAGTTAAGGTCCTGTTTGGGAGGGATTAGATTTTTCTACAGTAAATCAATTCTCATTTTCTACCACACATTTTTCAATAAAATAATATTTTTATCACATCAATAATTTTTTTCTTTTTCAATCACACATTTCCCGTCATATCACTATTCAAAATTAATTCTTCCCCCAAAAATCTCTCCCAAACAAGCTCTAAGTGTCCAAGTACCTTGGGCCTCTTGTTTAGTCCCATTTTGTTGTTTTGTTATTGCTTTTTAAAGGACTAAATGGCCCAATTCAAAGAAATATAAAGGAAATTTTTTATTAGGCTATAGAATTTTTTTTTTTTTTGAGGCCCTTCAGATCTTCCTTGGGCCAGGGCCGGGCCTGGAAATGTGAAACCCAGTTCAAATTAACTTTCAAGTGGACTAAGATGGACATTGATTTTCCATAGCTACTCGTGATATTTTTTTTCCTTATTCTTAATTAGTTAGTTCCTCTGGAAACTAATTTGCTTCTTTTCAGGCTCTTGCTAGACTCCGGTTCTCTGATACCGTTGCTCAGAGTGATGTCGATGAGGCACTTAGATTAATGCAAATGTCAAAATTCTCTTTGTATTCCGATGACCGCCAGAGATCTGGTTTGGATGCAATTTCTGATATTTATTCAATCTTACGCGATGAAGCTGCAAGGACTAACAAGATGGATCTGAGCTATGCTCATGCACTTAACTGGATTTCGAGAAAGGTTAGTTTTAAAGATAGGAGTTCATCTTGAATTAAGGGGAAATGCCATAATGAATTGAGATAGTATCAGTAACTTCAATATTAACTTAATTGGAGGTCAGTCCATTTGAGGGTGCACACACATGGTTACGCTGCTCTGATTTTCTTTTCAACATGTTGGCTTTGGTATGAGAATGAAAGAACAAAGAATAACACTAGTAATTAAACAATTCAATATTGTAAGATGGAAAACTACAAATAAAAATTGATCTGTTTCATTAAATCAGAAAAAACAAGAAAATGCATCATGTAGTCTAATTTGTCTAATTTTTTTCTCACTTGAGAAGAGTATGAAAGTGCATCAAGAAAATTGATCTGTTTCATTTTTTTCATTCCCTTCCACCTTTCTATTTGTTTTAAGAGGACATTTTTTTCTCACTTGTTTATAAGCAATTCTGTAGTTGGTTGTACTTCTGTCCTTGAATTTGTTGATTTCACACATTTTTGATGTATGTAATTCATACGAGAAATATATTGGTTAATCAAAATTAAACCATAACCCCTCTTATCTGATCGTTTTCGGCTCATAGTTTTTGCTTCTGGGTTCTGATGATGCACTTTGTTATTGGACTTGCTCTAAACAGGGATACAGCGAAGCCCAGTTGAAAGAATGTCTAGAGGAATATGCAGCCTTGAATGTGTGGCAGATCCATCCAAACACTTTCGACATCCGTTTCATTGATGCTTGAAGCATGTTGCTGAATATGGGAGGAAATGACCTCTAGAATTAAGCACTTGTCCTTCAAGAAACCCTGCCATGCTGTAACAAGGTTTAAGATGACTGGGGATTAATTTTATTAGTTGCTTTTAGGCTCGATTAGTAACTAATGGAAATGATTCGATAATTCATGTTTGAACTTTGTGTCCATTGATGCATTCCGAGCTGTAAACTTGTGCTAAGATAACATATCGAGATCTTCAAGATGCTGGTTATTTGTATTATATTTTATAAAATTTTGTGGTTATATTTATTAGGGTGACTTGCCAATTGTCCTCTGCTGTATTCTGTCCTGAATTCGTGTTACAAACTAGGGGAAAAGCTCTAGAGATAGCTGATAAAAGTTCAAATTCACTTCAGAAATTTAACAGTTAAGGGGCGTTTGGTTTGTAATTTTCAATTTTTAATTTTTCAAAATGGGTTAATTTCACAAACAGTCATTGAAGTTATTTGAAAATTACAAAACGGTCACTAAATTTTTAGATTTTTTGGGCAAATTTTGCGGCAATTTTTCAGCAACTTCCGACCACCAAGATCGCAGCATTTGGATACAGTTGGAAAGTTCACAATGTTCTCTTCAATTACTACCAAAAATCTCCCCATAACTCCAAAGGATTTTGCCGAAATATATCCACGAAATCGACAATCGAAAAATCTTAAATTTTCTGTCCAGATTTTCAGATTTCTTGTCGAGTTTGCTGCAATTTTCCGGCAACTTCCGACCACTAATACCATCAGTTTCGGATACCGTTGGAAAGCTAACAATGTCCTCTTCAATTACCACAAAAAATATCTTCATAACTCCAAGGGATTCGGCGGGAATAAACCCACGAAGTCAGCCACCAAAAAAATCTGAAAATCTACTCAGTTTGGGTAGCTAACTTCGTGGGTTTATTCCGGCCAAATCCGTTAGAGTTATGGGGAGATTTTTCATGATAATTAAAAATGACATTGTGGGCTTTCCAACGGTATCCGAAATCAGCGGTTTTGGTGGTCGGAAGTTGTCGAAAAAAGATTTTTCGGTAGCCGATTTTGTTGGTATATTTCGGCCAAATCCCTTGGAGTTATGGGGAGATTTTTGGTGGTAATTGAAGAGGACATTGTGGGCTTTCCAACGGTATCCAAATTCGACGGTCTTGGTGGTCGGAAGTTGTCAGAAAATCGCATCAAATCTTGCCCAAAAAATCTAAAAATTCAGTGACCATTTTGTGATTTTCAGGTAACTTCAATGACCGTTTGTGAATTAACCATTTTCAAAATATTGAAAACTTGTTTTAGTCTAGTCTTTTTGAAAGGCTTATTGGCGTAAAATCTATCCTTTGGACATATTGTGGAATACCTCCTATTTCTTAGAATTGGCCAAAAGCCCTCATATATGACTTTTGAGGTACGAAAGGCCTTTTTTTTTTTTTTGGTAGATATATTGCTACCACATTTTTTGTTTCGTTACATCACATCATAAACACACCCCGATTAGAACATATTTTTGATAAATACATTACAAATATTTTATGAATATAACCCTGGTCAAGTTAATAAAAAAAATATAGTACACTACATTCACGCCCTTCTCTTTTCTTCTCTTCCACCACTTTTATTTTTCATCCACAAGCGTACTATGTATGCAAAACTAGTGCAGCTGTATATATGCACAATCATGTTCATCAATTAACACCCCAATCAAGACCATATCTTTTTTTCTTATTTTAAGAAGACTTTTGTCGAGTAGTATAATCTGGAATTTTCTTGTATTTGTGTATCCTATACAAATTAAGACAGACACCCACATGACTTTTTCTAATTTCTTTGTAGGATTATTCAATGGGAAATAGCCATCAATGGTGAGAAAAGGGAAGAAATTACTCACCCTGAAATTTACTTAGTTCTATACATTGATTTTTTTTATTTTTTTAATTTCACTCTTAACTATTGCTTTACATACATGCATGATACATACATGTGGTCCAACAACACATAAGAAAATACAGGGAGTAGAATTAATTAAAGAGGAAATGGATGGCCGTAGGATGTTGAGGGAAAAAATGGAAAAAAAATTATGTTTATTTTTGTGGTGGAACAATAATTTATTTTATTAAAAAGTATGTTAAAAAACTTAATTATGTAATGTTACTTGAGGTTATTTTAGTAAATAAGAAAAATATTTGAAATTGTGGTGCTCTTAATAAAATTGTAGAGGTTATATAACTACCATTTTTCACTTTTTTTATGAAGTTTTGTGAAATGACAAACATACCCTCTTATTCAAATAAAACAAAATGAAAACAAGAAAAAAAAGATAAAGAATTAATTTCAATTGTAGTCCTAAATTTTTCAAAAGAGTGCAAATTAGTCTCTGATAAGTAACTAGAAAATAAAAATTAAAAATGTAAACCCCTGTTTGAGCCCATTTGGATCAAAATGCATTTTAAAATAGTATTTTGATGGAGAATGTATGATTAAAAAATAAGAAAAAATTTTGAATCTACGTGTAAAATTATTTTATATGAGAATGTGTGGTTGAAGATGAGTTTTTAGAAAATTGAGGACAAAAATAGACAATCTCTTTCTTTCCTCCTCCACCACCACCACTAGAGAAAAAAAGCTCAGAGGACCCACTTTCATGTTACAAATGATACGGCAAAGAACCCACTTTCAACCACTACCGACAATGTCGACACCACCACCAGGTCCAGCAATGGTGATGGTGGTAGAGCGGGGCAGAAGACGGTTGGGTGGGCTTTGGAGAAGATTTTTTGAATTTTTTTTTTCTTTTATTTATAGTTTTAAAATTAAACAATAATGGTTAAGTGGATTGAAATTTCATCCTTCTAAATCAGGTCATCTGCTAAGCACGAGTATATTTCATGTAACAAAGGCATGGCCGCACGGCAGTTGAAGGAAATGAACTTTGAATAATTTTGATATGAAGGTGTAAATGCTAAAACTAAAATTATATGGTGATTTCAAGATTATTACAGCTTAGCTCCAAAAAGATTAAGAAAAATATGAAACTGGTATAAATATGCATTCACTATGACAATGCATAGCATTAATACTTATGTTATTTGTATAATTAGTTTGACAACCTGTGAATTGACCGACATCATGTCCATTGATTTGAAAATTTTGTTTTTGAAATCAATGCTAGGATCGTTACACTTCACACATTGTCAAATTAACAAATTCATTGTATATGTAAAATAATATTAGCATTAATAGTTGACTTTGAGTTGCACACTTGTACCATTCTTTTGTTCGGTTAAAGACCGATTATTTGTTTAGTTGGTGATCGGGTGATATTCAAATTATATTACAAGTTAAAATATTAAAAGTTTGACTAAATGCTCTTATTGAGTTCCTGTTTGACTACGCCTCCGTTTGTTTCTCATTTTTCGTTCATAAAAATGAAAAATATGACTGTTATCTATCACATTAATCCATCAATTTTAAATTTATATATCTTGTGTGGGGCCCAATAACATCTATATTTTTTATTCTTATTCTATAATAATGAGAATCAAACGAGCCCTTATTAAAATTATAATTCATTTTTTTTTAACAAATCACACATTTTTTTGATAAAATAATATTATGTGTGAACTCAAAACTTTTCATTCTTTTTGAACCACACATTCTTCGAAAAAATTACTTTTTTAAAATACATTATGTTCAAACAGCGCGGAATAACTTGCAAGGAATGGCCCAACACCCTCTGACATTTAAGTTTAGATTTTCAACTAGTTTTATCAAAGTGGTTGTTATTCGGATTTAGCCTATGTTTGGCCACATTTTGTCAAACATTCAAGATCTGTTTGATTCGTGTTTCGATTTTCAATTTTGAGTTTTGAATTCATTTGCAATTTTCTGTTTTTGAGAGGCCGTTTTAAAATTTTTAAAGCCGCTTTTGGTTTGTCATTTGAAAAAATTATTTCTCAAAACAAAAACTAAAAAACTTGTTTGATTTGAAATTTTGAGAATTTGTTTTATGATATTTTATTTCATTAACCAGTAAAAATATAACAATTTTATGTTAATATATTATCAAACAATATGTACATTTTAAAGTTGATAAATTGTACATTATTTTTTCTTGCTACAAAATTAAAATAAAAAAGGTAATAACTTGAGTTTAAAATATATAAAATAAAAATAAAATCTAATGACGTTGATTGAAAATATTTTTGTTTTTATTCGATTAAATATTTTTTCAAGATTTTTATGTAAATAATCATTAAGACTATTTTTATTTTTTTATAATTTATTTTAGTTAGAATTTTGATTTTATGTATTTTTTTAGATTTTTTATTTTTAAATTTTTCGAATTTCGAATTTTTATTTTTTAAAAAAATTTTTTGATAGAATTTTATATCTTTAATTTTTTTTAAAATAAATTTTATTTAAACTCTTGTTTTTCATGTTTTTATTATTTTCAAAAATTTCATTGAAAACACTCAAAACTTCAAAAATGCATTTTAAGTTTTAAGTTATAATTTTTTTTTATTGTTTTTTAAAATGCATTTTCAGAAAAACTATACCAAACACTTTTTCAGTATTTTGCAAAATTGAAAGCTGAGAAAAGCAAACCAAACGCACCCTCATTTTTTTCAAAATTCATTTTCAATTACACATTCTTCCATAAAATAATTTTATACATAAATTCAAAAATTTTCCTTATTTTTTAACCACACATTTTTCAATAAAATATTATTTTAAAATACATTTTGGACAAAATAGGGCTCGAACAGAGGCTTAGTCGATGTTTGCCTTCCAATAAAAAGATTTTTTTAAAAAGGAAAATAAGTTTTGGTTTAGTTTTTTATTTCAGAGAATATATGGTTAAAAAGGTAGGAAAAATTTTGAATTTACGTGTAAAATATTTTAGTACGTGAGTGTGTGATTAAAAATAAGTTAAAAAAAATTTATTTATCATTTTAGATTAATGAAGATAAATGGAAACAGTGTCATGATTCG